CCCAAGCAGCTGGGTTCTCCTTATTCGGCCTGACTGGGTGGTTAATCGATCCGTAACTCAGGTGATCCCAATCTTTAGACACCAGCGAAGTAGAAAGCTGTAGAAACAGGTGACCTATGAGACTAACTGGAGTGGGTCTCTCCTGGAGCTGGACCGGAGACCCCTGTGCGCTGCTCCAGTCCTGGAGGACCAGAGTCCAGGTTTTCCCAGTTTTATGAAGTCCTCTTACAAGTGTTAAACTGGTCCACGAGGCTCATGATCGGTTCGGTTCTGTTCCAGAAGCCGTGAGGTGCAGCGCCTTAGCTCTGCCGGGTGGGAATGCAGGTTGAACAGCTCTGCTCTCTGTGCAGGGGGGCTGTGGGATGATTCTCAACCAGCACCCATGGGAGCAAATCGCTGTGCCCCTCTCAGGTTCTGTCTGCTGAGGACAGGCTGTGGTCGCGTCAAGGATGGGGGGCTCCATTCCTCTCCAATCTTCTGACTGAGCTGTCAGGAAGTAGTCCCTTGGTCCTGGGAACATGCCCAGTCCTTTCCTAAGGTGACCCCAGTGATCAGCTTGCAGGACTGGAGCACAGCTCCAGTCCAAAAGGAGCTCTGTTCTGCAGGAGCATTTACCAGAACTGGTCCTTCTGTTTCTGCAGGCAGACAGATTCCCTGAACCGGATGGAACTGCAGTGCAGTGGGAGTCCTGTCTGTGTCTGTATCCCTGCCTGCTCTGAGCTGGGACAGAGCGCTGCCCTGCGCGGGCACACAGTGCCCAGGGTAACAGCTGGGCGATTGTTAAAGGGAAATTTGTTAAGTTTCCTGCAGACGTTTCTTTTTCGCGTGAATCTTGTCCAATGTGGCCGACGCTGCAGGCCCTGAGCAGCAGGGAAATACTCCCTTCCTCCTCCAGATCCTAATCTGCAGCAGCAGAAGGGTTTTAATGAGCCCCTTGCTGGGCCAGGGGCAGTAATTAGGAGCTGCTGTGGTGCGTGTCAGATCTGTCGGGGTCGTGTGTCTCCCAGCGTGGGGAAAGAGGCCAGGGGGCTGCGGTGGTTTTGTTCGGATGCGTGCACTTGGGCTGGGGGTCGGCTCAGGCTGCCTCGCCTCGGAGAGACAGGAAGGTGGGAGGTAGCTGTCAAACCACAGCCTGACACGATTAGAGGTCTCTCAGCAGTGTTCAATCACCAGATTAATACCTGAGGA